TTCTATCGTATTTATAAATTGTTTATTTCACATTAGATACCTAAATATTCARTATAATATTAATTAAATCACCTCGTGTATTAATCATGAATCATTATCAATAAACCTTTAGTGGTCAGGATAGGTTAAATTGTTTTGTAAATTCAACATTTTTAAATTGTGTTTAAAATTATTATTTCTATTAGAAGTTTTGCTTATTATTCAATTATATTATTTTATCATCTTTGTAAACATTTGTTCATYATATAAGCCAGTAAATTGATGCCAAATGTTTTTGGGGCAGTTCATCCAAAAATGTGATAATTGATCATAAAGTCACTTATTAGTGTAGTACCAATTAACATATTAACATATTATAATATGTATATTTGTCACCTATCATCTAAAATATAAAAGTATTTAAATTGTTTATTGTAGTTCCAAGTAATAAAATATCTAAAACTATTATCTTTATCTTCTTAATAACCATACAATAATAAACAAACAGAAAATTACATAATTTAAATTTTAAAMACTTGTTTTTACATATTTTTGTTCAAATAAATAATATATTATTGATGTCCCATAATATATATTGATAAAAATTAACATTAAGTATGGATAAATCATTGCTTTACACCTTTACGTCATCTTAATCAATCAATATTAAGCAATATTATTTAATACTCTTAAGTTGTAATTGTATATCCTCAGTTTTGATCATTATTAGGTGTATTAATTTGGTTTTATTTAAAAAAAAAAATATTGTGTACTTATTATGGTTTACTATTTTATTTGTTATTTGATGGATTTATTTTTTATTAGTTTTTTCGTTTTTTTTTTGTTTTTTTTTTTTATAGCAATTACAATCGGCAGACTAGGTTATGTGTGCCCTCAAGACGTCGCCCCGCTGTTACAACAGTTTGTACGCATGTGGTGTGTACCAATTTTTTTTTTTTACTTTTTTTATTACTCATTTATAATATATTTTTATTATTTATTATATTTATAATTTTATAATTTTAATTGATTAATTAAAAACTTATTACATACTTATTGGTTTGGGGGACATAAAATGAGTATCTTATTTACTAATTACAAATATTTATGACGATTAATTTTAAACTTTTTTTTGAGCTACACTAATATTATTTTTGTTCTAGGTGTACTTCTTTACGTAATATCCGAGACAATGATGAAAAAGATAGTGCATTTAGAGGTATGTGTCAAATGATAAGTCTAAATCCTGGCGGAGTAGTTCAAGATTTCATATTCTTCTGTGATGCTATTGCTTCATGGATAAATCCTAAAGACGACTTAAAGGATATGTTTTACAAAGTTATTATTTATTTTATAATATTTTTCATAAATGTCCATTTTATATAATTWAATTTTTTGGTAAAATATTTTAAACTTAAATTGTCATTTAGATATTACATGGCTTTAAAAATCAAGTAGGAGAAGAAAATTGGACTAGATTTACTGATCAATTTCCTCAACAGTTGAAAGAACGCCTATCAACTGCATATGGTATCTAAGAAACTCTGTAAGCATTTTTTTTTCTAAATTAAAAATATAAATAATAATTTACTTATGTTTGATTAGGAAATTTGGGGCGCAACATGGGTGAATCCAGCATTGCATCTTTTGGGGTATTTTCAAACAGACTTCGTGCCGAGACCTGGCTCGTCTTGTAGGACCTGCGGGAGGGATGGGAGGGGGGATAATTACAAAATCAGTTATACCTAACAAATTCTTTTGTTTTAATATTCTAAAATTTGTTTTATGTGATAATTTTTTCACAACCAAATTACATCTATTTTGTCAATTTAGAGTGATACAACTGTTTGTATGATCAAATTTTATAAACTATTATTATTTTGTCTTCTACAGTTGGTTATTATTATTATGAATAGTTTTTTTTTTTTTTTATGTTTACTTAAACAATTATAAATTATTTTTTATTTCTAGAATGCTTGATAACGGTTTTTTATTTAGTAGCATCAGGCCTATTAAACCAAAATTCTTAAATAATACTAGTCACCCATTTGTTAATTCCTTTTTATTAGGGATTTTAAATTCCCTATAGAATTTAATCCTCCATTATTCATTAATTCCTTAAAGTTCCTTTATTACCAACATTCCAGAGTGGATCCCTCTTCCTTTTCCTTATAAACATGACCATCATTTTGGGAAACAAGTATTTTGAAATTATTAATTACTAAACATTTTACTAATTATCATTCACTATTGATTAACATCATAATGAAATCAGTTTCTAGTCTGATGTTTTTTGTAAACTATCTTCATTATAATTATTGTATTTCTTTTTTTAAACGAAATGTTATTATTTTATTTACTACTAAATTAGATTAATTAATTAATTATTTGCTATTATGAGTTAATTTTGTTGAATATGAAGGCCTGTTTTAATTTTACATAATATATTAAGTTACAAAATCAGTTAATCTTATGTAAACAAAATTATAGCATATGACTTTGAAGACTATTTAATCTTATTTATTATAAAATCATTAGCATATTTTTATATACTTATGTATTTCACTATAATAAATATTTTTCTTGTTAATTAGATTTATGATAATATCTGTCCTCAGATTGTTGAGATTAAATTAATAAATAACCTTAGAACAGCGGTTTCCTACTTCTTATGAGTGTTACACTAACATTTCATTTTTAGCCATTATAATTATTTATAATTGCATACTCAAAATGTATTCATGAAATTTATAGGATACATCAAAACTCGCCTGTCACATATCATTTATGTAACCTATTTAAAATTATTTTTTTATCAGAATATTTTAGAACTTTTTTACTTGAAAATGAAATGAAGATAATATAACTAAGTGAATGTTTTTGTGATGACCTACCTTAAAAACCTATGCTACTCTAATTTTGGGTAAGACCTGAAGTTAGGAGCATAGAATTGTGTGGGGCAKCKGGTTGTATCATATCATCACCTCTCTGGTATATGGTATTTGAATGCCAAACCATCCTTGGAGAAAATAAGTGTCACTTGACTCTAATGTTCTTGCCATATTGAAAAGAGTGTTTAAAAGTACGTAACAGTGTTATTTGTTGTCTCTGTCTTACCAGTGTGTAATATAGCAAATTTAAGCTCATCAGAACATTTGTAGCTCCTTTAGTTTAAAAATTACAGTGCATCGACCTATTATGAAAGTGTATGGTAAGTACATTATCTATGTTTGTACGTAAGTTTTTTWCGATAATTCAATTTTTAAGTGAGTTATGRGCATATAATAAACTACATTAAAAATGCTCTTAACTCACTTAAAAATTGAATTATCATAAAAACCCAACGTACAAACACAGATAATGTTCTTACCATCAAGTTTCATAATAGGTCGATTCACTGTAATTTTTAAATTAAAGGAACTACAAGTGTTCTGCTGAGCGTAAATTTGCTATATTAYGCACTGGTAAGACGGAGACAACAAATTCCACTGTTACGTACTCTTAAGATATTTTTCACATTATTCAGTATCATAGTACAGAATATAATACCAATCACTAAATAATTTAATTATTTATTACTGATCAATTTATCAAAAGATTTTTTACTATTTATTTACATTCATAACATAAATCAAATCCAATACGTGCTTTTTACTGTTATTTTTAATTAAGTCACAGCTTTAAGTTGCATGCATACCAACTAATATGTCATGTTTGACTATGAGCAATTTAGTATACTCACAGTAGACATTGTATATCTTCTTGTTTGCCAATGACTATRGTATAAATATTAAACTATAAGAATATTTATTCACAAGTGCATCATATTAATATTTGCCAGGGTAGGGCATAATAATGACCAACTCATCAAATTTAGACTTGTTAAGTACATGTATAAAAAAAAGCCGCTTACTAGGTTCCCCAATTACCMTTATATACGCTAAAAGTGCTATAATTGTGATCTTCCTCTATGGTGAACAACTGACTTTTGGTGTTAAACTGTGAGCATCACTCAAGAAATAAATATTTCTGTACAGTGTTGAGTAACATTAATATCTTAAATTTTAGTACTAAGTTATAATACATTGTATATTCTTTATGTTGACATACTTTGTACATTTGTATTCATCTTATCGGAGATTACTGATAAATGATTTTTGATTCCTAATGATTTTTATGTTCTATCCTGGTGTGTATTGACTATTGATTAGTCATATCCATCAATTGTAAACTAATGACTAGTTATTCATTTTAGCAGCTTCTCTGGTAATTTAAAATACTTTAGGGTTGAAATTTTTCTACATAATATTCGGTGTTTGTGTAGTACTTTATATGTACAGGATTGAATGACACGTAAAAGAACATTTTTTTTTTWTATAATATCAAATGATTTCAAATACTAATTAGTAAATTTATAAATCTATATTATCTTTACAATATAACATGTAATATACACATATAGTTAAAATATAATAATCATTTATAATTTTAGAAAACAGAGTTACGATGTATTGTATTGGTAATGTATTTAAATAAAATCATTAAAAAGTATAACATTAATATATTAATATATAGGTAATAATGCTTATAAGTCATATATTAAACTGAAGTTACTGAAAAATTAAATAAATAATGTTTGTTAATATTAATATAATAATTAAAAATAAAATATAATGTTAATTATTAATACTTATTAATGACTAGAAGTGAGCCATAACCCAAAGGAACAAGAATATTATGTAAAAAGTTACTAAGTTACTAGAAGTTATTACAAATTGTAGTTCATATAAAATAAAATTGACCCATTGTTGTGTTTTAGTTTAAACAAAATGTCAGGACAGATAGATTTTTAAGAAAAATTTTTCTTATAAATTAAACATAATATGTATAAAAGTGGTGAAAAAAGAAAAAGAAATAACTGTCTTTTAATTGGGTCATTTATAAAATTTAGACTGAGTTTAGTGTTCAATATAAATTATAATATTATAATTCGATAAAAGTTATTTTAAAATTTCAATTGTATCAAAAATAAAATAAAATATTTTTAAGAATGCTCTGCATTATAACATTATTTATAGAAAAATTAATATTTACAGCCATGTATTGTAATTGAGATTTTAGGGCAGTGAATTACATTTGGATATCATCTCAGTCTATTTTTTTTTCCACACTTGAACATCACTACTTACATATCCAACAACTAATGTATCATTTTGATAGTCAATCTAAAAATTAAATACAAGTTTAAAGTATAAGAAACATAATTTTAATTCATAGATCTACTTACTGAGGTTATTTCAGCACCGGAATCAACAATTTTAGCTATAACTTTTGGAGGATTTGTTGGAGTTAAAATGTAAACAACTCCTTCATTCCCTCCAGTTATAATACTGCCGTAATTAGTACATTTAATGCAATTAAGTTTGTAGTTTCGGCAATCATCTACAGGCTTTACAAGATTCAAAGTCTGTAGAAAAATTTCACTAAGGTAATTTAATAATAAAATTAAATAATAACACAAAGACCTACCTCAAGAACATTATATAGCCCATCTGAACAGTCCAACCAGTACATACAATCTCGATTGTCACCGATAAATAGTATATTGTCATAGTAGGAAGCACACATTGGAAAACTACTACCTCGCTGCAATAAAAGTAAAACAAAAAAAAACTGTTAATACTTATTAATTTAGGTAAAATGTTTACAATGAGTTTCTTTTACTTTAGAAAGGTACAAAGATTTGACAATATTATTTGTGCGCAAATCCCAAATAGATGCAGTTTTGTCTTCACTTAGTGATATCAAATAATGATCTTCTATTAAGCATAAATCAATTATACTACGTGTATGAGAATTTAGTAGTTCAAATAGTCGTTTTTCAGGTTCTCGAGGATCAAATGCGATAATCTTAGGGCAATAAAGTCCGGCAGCAATAAAATTTTCTTTGCTAGTAATTGACAACACAGCAGCATCAGTACTACACAAAAACCAATAGTATTTAAAATATTATTCATAAAATAAATATAAATATATTTTTAAATTTCAATTACCTAAATGTGAGTATTGGTTGTGAAGAAGATGTGAAGTTGCTCGTATTCCATAATTTGACTTTTGAATCCCAAGAACATGATAAAAAATGATCATCATCATAGATTCCTAAATCCCACACCCATCCCAAATGGCTATCTAATTTTTGTACGACAAGGTTATCTACTGTATCCACTGTGTTCCATAAGCATATAGAACGATCTCTCGATGCAGACATACAATGTTTACCGTCCTGAAAATATTGTTGATATGTGATAAAAATGTCTAATGGTTTTGTCATCTTAAAATATTTACTTTTGCCATAATGACAGCATCCACTTCAGAAAAATGAGCTCCCTTAAAAACAGTGGTAGTGGTTTTTGTTTCATATTCGCTCCAACAACTGTCTTCCAATTCAGTGTGCCAAGCAAATTTCTTCCAATCAAATGTGTTTTCTGTGAAATGGAAACAAACAAGGAATACCAAAATGTATTTTCTACATCTATGCACATTGACGTCCGCCTAGCCTCACCGTTGTAAGCGCTTGACAACATGAACGCCACATTGCAATCGTTAAATTTACGCATGGCTCTTTTCTTCCACAGGTAGTTGTCACTGATTATGTCGTAGAACTGTTTGTTGACGTACATCAATGACCTAATTAGTGTATCAGCATCAATACGTTCACAGATCATCAGGAATACCTGAGGAGTAAGAATATCAATGTGAGTAAAATAATGATTTATAGTACTCAGTAAAGCCAATGAACTCTACAGTTATTTGCAGAGCAAGACTCTGGAAACACCATCGGTTGAACAAATAAAATAATGTAGATGTTATAACTAAAGTATTTAATTAATGCACTCATTGTCTGATGTATGATCCGTTAGTGCAGGAATTGAAATAATGTCTAGCAGTTAAGAATATACAATAAGTACAAGTAGACCAAAAGCGTGTCACATCGTAYGACGTTTTTAATGACTTATATTATGGATACTGTTGATCTACTTTACATAAATATGGTTATGAAATTCCGTAGTCTTACCCTAACACCTTAAAATGTYCAATGTTCTCCCTACACACCCAATAAATACATCAGTCATACAATTCGTAAGATTCGGAACCATAAACTAAATAATTCCAACACGGCGGGCACTTTCTACTCATCCTAAAAACGACGTCCGTGACGTGTTTACCTCGATGGGAAGCGAATCCAACGAAACTGAAGACGGCGTTCCGGCCGCAGCGGTTCTCTCGTGTGAACTCATTTCAGATCGGTACGTGGTAGGCACAGACGAGTTTTGCTAAGGGCAGATACTTTACGAGATCGTGTGCAGATCGGGTAGGACGGTCGTTCGCATACGATGTTCCTGTGGGCTAATGATCTGCAAATATCGGGTTAGCCTCGAAAGGAAACTTCTGGTGTACGTCATCTGACGTTGATCAACATTTGGTCATCAGTCGACCGTCAAGGTTCATGGCCCGTGACGACTAACAAAGAACAAACTGAATACTGATTAACTGAAAGTCCAAGACCTGAGTTACTCACTCCATTGAGTCAATGGACTATGTAGGTGCCGAGTACACTGACAGCTTTACAACTCGATAAGCTGATAACGACGTAACATTGTAATCATGTAAAGCACGGTCTTTGAACAGCTAGAAAAAGTAGAAAATCTTCTAAGGCCGTGATGTAACGATGTAAGGATCGTACACTTTAAAGTTTATACTTTTTACGATTTACCATTGGGCATTGGTAATGTTTACATAATAAACGAAATAGTATGAATTATGAGCTACCCGCCACAGCTGATGATAATAGATAATAGAACAGCTGATGTCTGATTTAGCACTTAACTTGTTGTCGTTACAACTTAAAAAGCATGAATTAATTATAATAATATGTTTTAATACTAGCCTTAGGTTAATACTAGCCTTAACCTTAGGTTTTAATACTAGCCTAACCTAACCTTACCTTTCATGTTATGATGCTAGCAAGTATATTTTTATACATATAGATAGTTAACGGTTAAAATCACGGACTAAGATAGAATCTATAAATATAATTAAATATATTATAATTAATTAATAAATATAAATTCTATCTTAGTCCGTGGTTAAAATATATCAAGTAATAATCTTAAACGATATTCAATTTCGGATATCATTATGTAATTTTCTTCGTTTTATCAATATAATTCTGACAATTCAAATATTCAATTGAATGATATTTAGGCCTACCACTTTCTAACTTACCCCATCTTTTGCTCATAGATCTAATAAAACTCTGTACCAAATTTCGTCGCAATACATCCAGCCGTTTAGGAATGTATATAGGACAAAAAGATATATAAAAACTAATTTCTGTCAGTTCATTTTATTTAAATGCTCTACAATATACGCATAATTTGTACATTTTTCTAATAACCACACTTGGATGAATACTAAAAATTAGAATTACATCAAATTTTATTGCAATCGGTCCACCAATTAGAATTGGAATGCATAAAGGATAAACAGACAGAAATCCATTTTTATTTTCATATTAATTGCCCATTAAAAATACTAACACTTGTGCTTTATTTATTTACTTATTGACCACCTTTAGTTATTCTTTACTTGAATTAGGCAACAGTGTAGATCACAAATGTGATACAATTTAAAACAGTTTTAAAACAAATTTGTTTTAGCTATGAATATTAAATTCGAACTGGTTAAATTAAAAAAAAATTCTAATATTTTATGATACATAACATGATTTGACTGATTGCCATTTATTTTCAGGATGTTGAACTCAAGTTAAACATATTTTATGTTTTATCAAAATTCAAAACTAGATATAATTTACCTAATTTACCTATTGAAATTTAMTTGGAAATGGAGATTAAGTTAATATCAATCTCTTGGTCTTGATGATAAGATGATAAAGAATGATTTTGATTTATTTGATTTTATTTTCCATCGATTTGATATTAATTTTATATCGATAATTGAACCACTTTAATAGGACATCACACCCACATGTGTTGTATCCATCTTACAATAGCATAACATACAAAGTTTTACACTCAGCAGTTCATGTTAACCTCCATATTTTAAATTTAGAGTGAATTGACCTCATAGAAAAATTAAAGGTAACATTATTACCTAGGGCATTAAATGGGCTTTTTATTTTTAAAGTGAGTTATGAGTATCTTAAAATACTAATAAAAAAATAATTCGGGGCAAGGGGGAATTTATTGAGATTGAAGAGGAGGTTCTACTTCTCTCTATAGTTCTATTATGTAAAATCAGAAAATAAATTATATAATACACTCAAATTACATTTAATGCAAATTAAATTTGTTAACTTTTAAGTCCTACAGTAAATCAATATTATCTAATAGTTTTTCACATTTAATCAACCTAGATGCTGTCTTTCGTTGTTTTTTAGCATTCGCCTTTTGTAATTTTTTCAATTTTAAGACACCCGGTTGTAAATCAATTTTCATTTCCATGGGCTCCGATTTCTTCTTTTTCCTCCATCGTAATTTTCCAGATTTTTTTGTTTGTACACCATCATCAACTACTACCACTGATTTTCCATCTACATCCATTGTATCTGTTTTCACTCCTTCACTGGTTGATTCGGGTTGTAACTTGGCAAGTTCTTCCATGAATTCTGTTTCTATTCGTTGCACATTATCCAAATTAAATACATCTGTTACATTAGTAACAATTTGTGCACTTAAATGGACTGCTTCAATTTCAGGCGGAAGGGTGTGATATCTTATTTTTCCACTAAAATAAAAAGTTTATTTTTATATTAATAATAAATTATTAGCCGATTTAAAAATTCTAATAAACTCTTGTGAACTTTATAAATTCTTGGTTAACTCGAAGTTGAAAGTATCAACCAAACAGTTCCAGTTATCCAAGGATAATAAAATAAAGGAAATCTTAGGGACTGGGAAAATATTTGTGATATTGAAAATGTTGAGTTTTTCTACAATAGTTCAACTGTACATACCGATTCCAATCTTCAACCAAGCTACGGGCTGAAGTAAATATATCAGGAATTCCACCACGGCCAATGTTTCCAAACCGTCTAGCTTTTAAATACAAAAAGTGTTCACATGAATCATATTGTCCAATTCCATAAAGCTTTTGCATCTGTTCAAATACAAAATGTATTTCATTAAAGATGATAAATAATAAAATAATAAATGAGGATGAAATTAACATTCACGATGACTTTCATATTTTAATTATTTTTTTTGTTTTAATTATTTGGATTCAAGGTTTAATAGGTCTCTGTACTATTTTTGCTCAAGGCGACGAGAACGATTACCAGGGATGGTTAATGCAGCTAGATTTTTTATAAGTTTGTTAGGATGAGAGTTAGGGCGTAAGTGGAAGTGTTTATATATATATATTTTTATACCTTTATGCAGGGTGTGATTTGATACGTATGGCAGAGAATTTGTAATTTTTCTTAGTGTATTATATTGGAACCGTTGAATTTTATTTAATTCAAAAACTTTTGCATTGCCTCATAGCTGTAGGCCATATGTCCAAATTGGTTTTGGAAGAGATTTATAGAAGAGTAATTTAATATTTAGTTTTGAGTGTTTTTTATAAATTAATTTAAATGCAAATTTTTAAACTATTTATCAGACTAAATATCTTTATTTTTATATTTTATATTAGATAAACTTGATAGTTGGTCTATATATATATATCTGATATAGGTATCTAAAATATTAATGCACAAACTAATGAAAAATATTAGTGATGGGTCAAACTGTTTCAATTTCGAACCAAACTAAATCCTTGATGTTTGGTTTGGTTCAAAATTCGAACTTGATAAGAAAATTCAAACCTTTTTAAGCATATTTTATTGTTCAAAAATCAAACTTGAAAATATTTGTTGAACTAGACTTCAGACTTAATAGCTAAGATAATTCAAAGACCAAATTTGTAAAATTCAAAAGTTATTTTTWAAATATAAAAATTGATAGTAATTATTTAAAAATGATTACTATATAATTATTATATTAATGATAATATTTTGAAAATGAATAATAAATATATCGAGTTCAAGTTTGAATTTGACTTAAACTGGTACGGTTTGGTTTGGGTTTGATTTAAAAATCATGGTTCGACCCATTACTAGAAAATACACCTATTTACAAAAGTAATGTAGATGTAATGTTGAATTGATTTTCAAAATGATTTCATAGATTTTTTAATTCACATCAAAATCAGTTTTTATATGAAATTCAAATTTTTATACATGAAAATTTTAGAGCCCACCTCAAACAGTAAAAAAATTATCCAAAATTAAAAAAAGTTTGATAATATTAATCAAATTTGTAGTTCGAAGTGATACTCAGTAACTAGTTTACATAAAAATAAATTATATACCTGATCTTTAGTTACACGTCCCACAATTGTAGCAGCACAAGCGATAGGATCTTCAATATTTCCAGAACTTACAACATTTTTCAATCCTACACTATTGGTAGTAGATGTTTTGTCTAAAACTACACCTGGACAATCCAGTAGTTTAATATGTTTATCCAACTGAATCTCTTGCATGTTTCTAAAATTGAGTTTTTAAATAAATTAGTTTAATCAGTAATTTAAATAAACCATTAAATTTATATTATGTAATATATACAAGCAAATAGTAATATTTTGTTCCATACTAATTATTAATAATTAAATTATTTTGCATACATTGTACATTGTACTTTGAATAAAATATCAAAAAATAATGGTAAATTATTGCTTATGTATAGTAAAATTACGTCATTTCGTATTACTTTGTATTGTTGTTGTTCTTGAGTGTTAATTTAATTTTTATACCTTTTTCTTTCATTTATTAGCTCAGTGGCGTAACTATGGGGTAGCGAGGGGTAGCGGTCGTAACCCCAAACATTTTTATGAGGTCGCAAGAGTATCATTTTGCTACCCCAAAATTATTTATATAATTTAATAAAAAAAATCAGTGTCAGTGTGTATTTACTATTTATTTATCTTTAAATAGTTGTCAGGAAAAAATACGTTATTTGTGAATTTTCGTGTTATAAAACTGTATAAGTATAATGATTATTTTAAAATAATTTAGGAGGAATAAGTTATGCGTATAAGTGGTACTCACCCATTATGCTTATTGGAGAAGATGAAGCATATAAAAGTGTTCGCTACCCCAAACATTTACTGCTAGTTACGCCCCTGTATTAGCTTAACTATTTTGTCTGTCATCCAAGGCTTTCTTGCATCTATTTTTTTGGTTCCTATTACTTTACCTGGCTCTTTAGAATTTTCTTAATATTGTTCTATTTATTTTCCTCCAAATAACAGTTATCAATTAGTATGTTGTTAAATGCTTTCTTACATTTCTCTTTAAATTCTATTCTCTTCTCATCTTTCTTAAACACTTCTAAATTCCATTTTTTTGTAAATCCACCTTTAATTTTTTTGTACTTTAGATTTGTTTCCATAATAACTAGATTGTGATCGCTGTCAATATCAGCACTATTAACACTCAAGAACAACAACAATACAAAATAAAACRAAATGACGTGCAATGGAAGATAAAAAAAAGCTAAAGAAGGGCTAGATGAGCAGTGTAAGGAAGCAGAAGAATTTTTAAAAAGAGGAAGAAGTGACTTGGCATTTTCAGAAATTAAAAAGCTTTTTCGTGAAAGGAAACAAAACGCAAGAACCCTAATAAACAAAAACGGCGAATTAATACTAGAAGCTGACCAAAAAACTAAAATATAGAAAGAATATCTAGAAGAATTATACAAGGATAATTCAACTATGATATTTGAGGAAGAAGATAATGTAGATGACATAACTGACATGAGGAAGAATAGTTATAAAGAACTAAAGGAATTGAGTAATGATAGGGGCGCATGGAAAACTGCAGCAAACCAATCTAAGGATTGAAGACTCAGAGAGAGATAGTAAAATTAAGATCAAATTATAATACTTGGTCACACCAGGGACAGCTCCAACTTGACACGCTCTGGACCTTTTCAAACTATTAATCAAACTACTTTTGCCAACATTCGGCATACCTAAAACATATTTTTATGTTTAAAAAAAAGAATTTTGCATATGTTATGATGATTAGCAACTGTAGTAACATTTTTACTATACATTTTATTATTTTCTTTACCTACAACACCTACAACGATTGATGTCTTCATTTTTTCACTACGACAGTAATTGGCTAAAAGTGTCATGACTAATTCTGCACCAACACAAAGGCTAATAGCTTTTTCTGTATCTTTTTTACACTTGTTCATTTTCCTATGACCAATTCGCGAACCAGCTTGTTGAGTACTAGCTTTGAATGGCACTGCAGGGGTTCCTAATTGTCCTCTAAAATAGGACAGCCAATCACGGACTATTTCGGCTGGGACCAAGTCGGTTTTATTTAATACCACAACAAGTTTTTTCCCCAAGTCTTGAGCTGATTCTGTCACTCGTTTACATCTGGTGCCTAATGGATCACGTGCATCAACTACCTCTAAAACAACATCAGCAGCACTAACCACCTAAATAATTAACAACTTAATTTAATAAACATTAAAACATAACATATAATTTGAATAAAAACACAATACTTTTCTGAATTCATCTTTAAAAGTCTTATTATCCAATTTCACAACATTTTTATAACCCGATTCATCTTCAACATCTTCAACTTCAACAAATCCGGCTTGCATTGATTCGGTTTTTTTTACAAATTCAGCCAAAGTCTGGGATAAAGGAAGTGGTTCAGTTGTTTTCTCAGGTTTCTTAGGCGCAGAAGCTTTTTGAACATTTGCTGTTCGTATTGACTCCAATTTTTTTCCTATTAATTGTTAAATGACATCATAAAATGTACAACTGATTATTTATTTGTAAACCAATAACATTTATAGATAGTAGGTGCATGTAAAATAGTAATACACCATCATACAATAAGTCAACTTAATAATATTTTAACAATTTTAAAAAAAGAATCGACAAACCTTTTTTCCATTTAAGAAATGCTCTTCTATTTTTTGATTTATCTAAGTTAAAAATAAATTGTATTCATTTAAATTAATATAAACATACTGTATAAAGAGAATTAGTTTAAAAAATTCAATATACTTACTAGCTTTTTCAATACCCATATTGCAGCCGTTGCTGTTTGGAATTAGTTCTAAACACGGACTAAGATATCTTAGTTCTTAGTCCGTGGTTCTAAATAATAATCTTAATAGTCACTAATTCTGGTATAATAATATCCTTTCTGTGATCTTAAACCATGCTCTTTTGGCATGTGGGCAAGTTCTTATCACTGTCGGTTTTATCTACATCGTGATTTTAAGAGGACGTGATACGTGCATGCGTAAGTTGTCTCCGTCTTGCAAGTGCGTAACATGATAGTTTTTACGCACTTATAAGACGGAGACAACACATGCGCGTATCATGTCCCAAGGTGGATTTATAGGGTGAACAAACTAACACCCTACAGCCTATGCGTAGGGGTACGCATTTTTCACTACAGATGAGATTATAACACGATTTAAGATAGTATCTTAACCGATTCGTGGATTATAATAATATGAGAAATCCACCTTGTTATATTATTGTCTTCTTTAGATTTTTTAGTCTCAGCAAAGTTAGCAACGTAAAAAATAAAATCCATTATTCTATTCTATTTTAATAATTTATTATATTGTTCTGTGATTCTGCGTGATTCCATACCACCACAGAGCAATATAAAAATAAATAATATATCTTAGTCCGTGGTTTTGGCCCATGCTATAATTATTATAGAATAGGATATTCTCGACAATCGATATTATTGTCTTATCATTTACGATTTTACGACGATAACTTCTTTTGGTGCGGAACTGGAAGCAATTTATCGGATCTCGAATTTTAATTTATTCAAAAAGTAATTTCGACACGTTTTTTACTCTAAAAGTCTGAAGGCCATATCGGATTATTCCGAAGGGTTTTGGAGTCAAGGTAAACCTTGGCCAAGTGCGTTGGACAATGACGAAGTTATGTAGAGGTGGGCAAATTCAGATCATTTGAATCGAATCAGTCTACTAACTTACTGATTCGGTCCGTGATATTATCTATGGGACTATCGAATAATTCGATAGTTTGATACTACCCATCGATAGTCGTATCACTCGTATCAGGACCGAAAGATAAGTTTCATTAAAAAAATAAAAACCTCCAAAAGACCTAAAGATCGTTATTTGATTTGATCGAATATTTTAAGTACATCTGACATCATTCGGTCGCGATCCAGTCACTCGACAGATTTGTTCATTTTGATTCTATCAGTCGCAACCATCACAACTCTAGAGTCATGGACACATTTGCAGAATTTATCGGCAGAAAAGTGAATAGAGTAAGATGGAAGCCAGATGATCTGATGGCATCGACAATGTTTGTCACCGGTTCGTGGGATAATGAAGATGTGAGATTAATTTATTGTCATGTTGATTTATATACTCAATCCTTTCATTTTTATTTTTCCTATTACAGGACAACGTAATAGAATTGTGGGGACTGACATCGGAAGACGAAAATTCGGCCAAAGATTTCCCTCCAAAACTTTTGGATTGTGTACAACAAAATGGAAATGTTACGCAAATTAGAGTATGCATATTATATTAGTGTAATAAATTATTCACATATCACGTTTACCTTAGTTAGTATAGTTCATAGTTAGTTGATCAAGTTTTTTGATAGGAAAAATATGAATGATATTTATTTCATTAGTTGCTTATGTGTACTCCTTTTATTTTATTTTACTATTTATTTGATATAATTATAATGACAACAACAAATTTAACAATCTATTGATTATTTATTGACAGACATTACTATTATTATTTATTTATTTAATAATAATAAACACCATACAGTTTTTATAAACTAACTAAATATTATTTTTATTATTTTAAGTTTTTAGATAACAAATTTGTTGCTGTTAGTACAGAAAATGGAACAGTTAAAGTATATCGTGTCATTGGCGAGAATGAAGATGTTAATATTCATCTTAATGAAGTCATGGCTTGGGAAAATCTACATTCATTTGGGTAAGATTATAATTTTATTTAACTTCATCATTTCAACAATAGTTTTGGATCATTTATACATACTATATTAAATTACGTTGATAAAATAATCAAATTGTATTTAAAGATTGTCATTTATTAAATAATTATTTAAAAAAAAATTAATACCGTATGAATTAATGATGTGATTCAATTTATACTTAGCCTAGTAAAACTCAGAATTAATATATTTATATTTACAGTAAAGGACAGAGATGCTCTTGCAAGGATCTTGCTGTATGTAATTATTCATTAGCAACCATTGGTGATGATTATAAACTTAATGTTATATCATTGAACACCAAACAAATTCATCAAGTTCTAGGTAAATGCCTAATTATTTTGTGATTGATTGATAGTGTATGATATATTTTCTTTTAATGTATTTAAAAGTTGAAATTTTTGATATATATTTACATGTAATATGGATGTTTGGTTATTTAGAAGGAATAAGTAGTTCACCATTAACATGCATTTGTTTCTTAACGGACACTGAAGTTCTCTGCTGCAATGCACTTAGCCAGATGAAACTTTGGGATTTACGAATTGCTAAAAGTAGTATAACAGCCAATATCAATAATTTCACTCAGGTAATATTAATATTTATCATGTTGTATTTGACACAAAATATTTTAGTTATATTTTATATATCTGAATTTCAGACTCAAGTGCCAATAACATGTGTTGCTCAACACCCTAGTCAAAAACATTTCATATTCACGGGGTCTGAAGAAGGAGATGTTGGTGTTTGGGACATGAGAACCAACAGCTTATTAACAACTATGAGTAGTGGTGACTCATCATCACTTACCGAAATTGCATTTCACCCTCTAGAACCGGATCATTTGTTTACATGTTCGTTTGGAGGAAGATTACTACAATGGAGCTCTAAAAAATCATATATGTGTCGTATTGACCCAGGTATAGTGATTTATGTATGAATAATGAAGTAAATGGGAGAATAATATAATTTTTACAATACATCATATCTACCTGATATATCATACAACATAATTTTTTTTTTGTAAAGTTTAAAGTATAAATTAAGTAGTACTGAATTAATCCTATTATTTAAAACTAGTTTTATGAAGTATTTATATTAAAGTTAAAACTATATTGTTAGTTTATACTAGAAGTCCATTGAAAGGTTGCAAAGAGAGCATATAAATTACATAATATCTTCAATATTGTAGACTACATTACAGAAGTTTAGAGACATATTTAACAGCTTCTATGAGATAGATTAGGCCCAGATTTATCTATATTTATCCTTAACATACTTTAAATGCAAGTCAAGATAGGAAAGACTGGGTATCAATTATATAACAAATAATTTAAGATATTTTTCTATCAATGCAATATTGAAATAATCCTAAATTCTAGTATGTATAATTTGGTTATCTAAGAATTTATTTTTATAAACATATAATATTGATGAATGATACAGTTTTAAAATGTTATTGAAATAATTAATTAATATTCTAGGAGATTTGGAATATTCAAATTTTTGGGTAAACACAGACAAGGTAAAAACACGATTGTCGATCAATGATGTAATACAACCGATTTATATGCCAATTAACTCATTGGATATACAAAAACAACAACTTATTTGTGGCGCTGACAATGAAGCAGTTTACTTTCAACGTAACCTTAAACTTTAAATATAACCATAATTAAAAAAGCTCGTTATTTATATTAAAAAAACATTGTATGAATTTTTTAAATTCCAATATGTTAATTAATAACAAATATAAATTAAGCAATTTTTCATACAACCTTGTTGGTTGATTTTTTTTTATTAGAATATAAAACATTCAAGATTTTCAAGGAAGAAATTGGAGTGTATCGATACGTATCAATTTAATTTTGAGTGTTCAAGAAGATACAAGTTCACTATACAAGCGATACGTACCGGCCTGTATTGGTCTTAGATTTCGATACGAGTCGGTACGTAATGATACGCATCGAATTCTTCTTCTTGAAAATCTTGTTTTACTATCTGTATACACAATGATACAATAAAAGTAAAATTGAATTCTTATGTACTAATTGTGGTGAAAAGATAGAAGGAGAGGGCGGTGGTAAACTCTCCCGATTTTTAAAAATAGTAAACTCTCCTGATGGTAAACTCTCCTGGGTTAATATTATGTTTATCTGAAGTAAATGTGTAAACTCTCCCAGGTCAAAATTTTGTTTACCTTAAGTACATGTGTAAACTCCCTGGTTAACTTTATAGTTACTTGTAGGAAGTATGTTAACTCTCCCGATTGTTTTAAATGTTAAAACATTTTTTTAGAAAAAAAAATAGATTCCCTAACTTTTTTAAAATCTGTATGTTCTTATATTATTATCAAAAATAATAATTTTAACATTTTTACGTATATTTTGTATTTGTAACTTATATCATTATTATTATTATTATTATTGACTATTTTTAAAAGAAACTTAAATGTATACTAGATTTATTGATATTTTATTTTTTATTGTATTTTGACTATAATATTATAGCWCATAGCAGCTAAAGACATTAATTTATATTGTTATTATATATGATTGACTATTTTTAAATGCAACTTAAATGTATATTTAATTTATTTTATGATTTTTACTAGACCCGGGAGAGTCTACATGTTTCCATATCAGGTAGTACAGGAATAGACCCGAAAGAGTTTACATATTTCCGTGAGGTAGTACAGGAATAAACCTGGGAGAGTTTACACGTTTCCGTCTTGTAGTACTGGAGTAAACTCGGGAGAGTTTAAAATCGCCCGAAGGAGACATCTATTAACACTACTTCATTAATAATTCTTTAAATTTTGTACTAAGTAAGTAAATCTGGTAGATTTTAGAAATTTTTGAATAGTTCAACTTTATCTTTCAATTATTAAGGTCTTAAAAATAAACCTCTACTACAAGCAGTGGCGTAATTACGGGAATGCACAACGGTGCACTTGCACTCCCTGGTATTATGTAGCAGGTGCAAAGATATGCTTTTGCACCTGCAGATGCTGAACTTTATACCTATTGAAATACAATACCAACTGAATTTCATTGATTSGTTGATTTTTTTTTACCTTATTTAAAAATTTTGTTATCATTTAAATCAATTTCATATAAATATTATATTTTTATATGCATAATGTATCATATACTATATGACATATAGTACAGACACAGCACGCATATTATTATAGTGTTTAAAATATAGGTACATACAGATTTTGATATTTGTTTATTTTTTACTGTTATCAAATATAAACAGATACCTATAATAGTACTCGCCAGCCAGTATTGGTGAGTTGCGGCCTAAACCCTAAATATCGTACGAGTTGCGGCCCGGGTTTATGAAAGGAACGTACGAATTGCGGCCCGGGTTTATGAAAGGTACGTACGAATTGCGGCCATACAATAATGTATATGGGGGTGGAGTGGCCGAGCACGCAGTCGCCGGTTCGAATCTCGGTCACGGGCGACATCGCTCTTTGGGCATTTCGCGATGCCTGGAGAGAGAGGCCGCCGGCCCCCAACCGGGCATGGCAGAAACCCACGGGTGCCCATTCAAAATTCTGCCAAAAAAAAACCCACGAGTTAAAACCTTACAGTACCTTCCCATAGGCGCACATAGGAGGGTGCTAGGGGGAGCTTAGCACTCCCAGGTTTAAAATTAGCACCGCATAAACTATTTAAAATATTTATTACATAGTCATATCTTTTGAAATATTATTATATAAATCTRTYTATRTATATCAGGATATTTTGAAAATATCAACAGTTAGTTTATCAGCTGAAATGATGGTTTTAATGAATAGTCTACCAGCCAGCTTTATATATGAAGGCATGAAAAATCAATKTTATAAAAVTTCGTTTCCAAATGTCTGTAAGCTATTGGGAATAACAATTCCAATTTCTTCGTCAACGTGTGAACGCTCCTCAGCTATGCATAGATTGAAAAACTGGTTACGCATCAATATGGGCCAAGAAAGATAGAAAGATTTACCAAGCTATCTACGCTTAGCATTGAGAGTGATCTTACCAATAAAATAGAGGGGGGAATTATATTGCAAACATTTGCAATATCAAACAGAAAATTAAATCTTGTCTAACATTAATAATTAATGATTACATGTTATTATAACTTGTAATATAATTACAAAATATTTATTTTTATTTTTAATAACATTTATAATTATTGCAATGCAATTATTATAGTATTAGGGTGGTGTAGTGGGGGGCTTCGCTCCCCACGGGTCTGTGTACTATAAATTATTTCAGCACCCCCTAAATTCACACCCTATGTGCGCCTATGTACCTTCCCCTACAGTTCCTCAGGCTAATGACCTCAGTTGTCGATGCCCCAACCAAAAAAAAAAAAATAATGTATATATTACATATATATATATATTATATTATATTATATACTATATGTCTATTTTCTAGTATAAAATTGTCGTACTTATATTAATATTGGTCGTAATGACCTATTATGACATTATATTAAATAATAAATAATAAAAAAAATAAAAGTATAATTGGTGTAATATATTATGATAATAATGTCCAAAAAAATCAAAGCATTCATAATGTAAGTCATATATGGCAGATAATACGATAAAACGATAAAACGATCTATATTATCTTTATCATATTATATACAAAAATATAACTTCCCATACGTATTGAACATTTCGTTTATACTTTCGTTTACTTGGGCCGCAACTCACCTATCGCTAAAAGGTCGTATCCCATTTCGCCGCCGTTTAATTTCGCCGCGGTACCATTTCGCCGCCAAATTAATCCCATTTTGCCGCCGACCCATTTCGCCGCATAAAATTATTTTTGTCTTAAAACATGGTTATGAATTTGCGATTTGAAAAGTGATAAATAGACCAGAGAAATATTTATCGTTTGAAATGATCTAAGTGAAATACTATCTCAATTCTGAAGTTATCAATTGATAAATCCCCAATAGTTATATAAATAAAATAGAATGAATAGTATGTTGTCGCAGYGATAACTGTAAAGTCAACACAGTCAGTGTCGTATGATTATCACCTGTACGTATTTGCACATTTACAGTTCACAATTTTTAAATAACAATGTCGAATATTGAATATATTTCTACACAGCGAAAAGGGGAATGCCCTATTTTCAATAACTATTATTTTAGAATTGATAAAAAAATAAAAAATATTGGAAGTGTATTCAAAATTGTGGAGCTCGTGTAATAATTTCAGATTACATATTACATGGATATAACTAATTAGAATGTAAATTTTAATCTTAAGTTTACTTAAAAGAGTTACTTAAAAAATAAATTCGGCGAAATGGAACTGCGAAAAAATAAATTCGGTGAAATGGTACCGCGGCGAAATGGGAGCTGACCATATTATCATCGGGCCGGAATTGGTCCAATTTGTCTCCAACACCGGAACGAAAGGTCGGGCCGCAACTCACCCTCAGCCCGCCAGCAATGCAATTAGCTTTAAATATGAATAATATGACTTAATTGATCATTACGATTATTGGACCGATAAAATTTTGCATCTGCTGAAATTGAATGGAATTACGCCAATGACTACAAGCATTATAAAATTTATTGAAATTGATGTCTATTATTGTGTATAACACTGAAAAGGAGTTAAAATTATATTTTATGTATCTAAAACAATCTAATTTACTTTTTAATCTTGTTAATTATCATCTACATACATTTATTGTAGTTATTATAGTACCTAGTATACCTATATTGGCTATATTATATTTTGAAGTACCAGTACGTCAAAAAATTCTTAATTCATAAAATATATTGGTGAACTATATTTTTAAAATGTTGTGAAAAATTATGATTTTTACTTTTTACATAAGTGTTTCTGAGTTCAGAATTTTGTTGAATTATAGATTCCAAAGAAGCTTACAATAATTTCAACTAGAACATGGGCTTACTAATTTTAAATAAAAATAAGTTTTAGATTATAGTTCAATATTTTAAAAATGTATGTCGGTAGTGATTGGAGATGGGGTTCATGAAGGTGGTATACCCTTTAAAATACTATTTTTAAGTTAAGTAGTTTTCTTGATAGTTATATACTTATATATATATAATCTAAGTTTCTGAGCGAAACTATGAATGTATTGATTTTACAATAATGTCATGTGTGGGTTTATTGTGAAAAATTGTATTCATTATTTGTATATTATRTGTGGGGAAGGGTGGGTACATTTTATTGTAGAGTAGAAAAATATTTAAATTTTYAACTTATTAGGGTGATTTCTGATAATTGGTATTTCTATATTACAAGAACGCTATACCCTYATATGTTGTCTCAATCTTACAAACGTACAACATAGCAAAATCTATTTTACGCTGGAGAGAACCAGCTGTTGTCATAACTAAGAAACAACATGTTCACACTATAAAAAGGAGAACATTTACTGTGCGACATCGTTTTTATTTTTTTGATATCGCAAATACAAAAAAAATGTATTGTTTAAAAATCATTATTTTAAACTTAAATAACTTTTTTTTTATTTGTGATATCCAAAAAAAAAAAAAAAAACGATATTGCACAGTTAATGTACCTACTCCCTTTTATAGTGAGAAAATTTTGTTTCTTATAGTTATGACTACTGTATGAGTGGTTCTATCCCACGTAAAATAGTTTTTGCTATGCTGAAGGTTCCAAGATGGAGAAAACACATGTGGTGATGTGGATGTAGCG